CCTATTAGTTCTCCAGTCTGGCGGGATATTGGCCTGTCTGGGTCTGTTACGTATGTTTGTCTGTTTTCATGTCACTGATTATATTATTCCATTTCAGCTTGAATACCTCCTTTCAACATTTCTTGCAAGGCAGTTCTACTGGTGACAAATTCCTTCCATTTTTGTTTGTCTAGGAAGGGTGAAAAAATGATATTTATCTTCTGGCAACAAGTTCTATGTAAAGCATAAGTATTATAAATATCTTCTCTAAGTCTTTACCTTGGTTTTCACTCTCTTAATCATGCATTCTAAGAGCAGACAGCGTTAACTGAATGACATAAAATTTATGAATTTTTAAAAATGATTTTGCTTGTACATCACAGGTAACTAACCTTTGCCTATTCCAAAGTTATAAAAGTATACTGTGCTTCCTTTTAGAAAGGTTACTGTATTAATTTTCACATTAAGCCTACAGTCCCCGTTGAATTCATTTGTGTGTGTGTGTGTGTGTGTGTGTGTGTGTGTGTGTGTGTTAAGTAGAGGTAATGGGTAGAAAATTTTAACTGAGTAAGAGAACCCAGAATTGGAGTTAAGTGCTAATGACAATTCAGTGTATTATGAAAGAGCCATCTCAAATTAGTTGAGAAAAATATAAACTTCTCAATAAATGTTGGGCTAATCCAGTAGCCATAAAGGAATAGATTGAATCACGTCAATTTCTTACAAAGATGAATTCTAAATGGTAATTTTAATCTATATACATATTAGAAGTCATGGCTGAATGACTTTCTAACTCAGGACATAAAAAGTGGCTAAACTTCATTAATTATTTGGAAAATGCAATAGCCCCTTTACATTCACTACAACAGCTCAAATTTCGATGACTAATAGAACTGGCACTGGAAAGGGATGTGGTAAATGGAACCCCCGTAGAACACAGGGTGGCCACAAATCAGCACCGCCAGTTCGGCAAACAGCCTGACAGTTTTGTTGAGAGGTGTGCATATGCTTACCTTACGACTCATAAACTTGACTTTCAATTACCTATCCAAGAGAAAGGGGTGTGTATGTCCACCAAAAGTTTATATAAGAATTCTATTGTAGCTTTATTCACTATAGCCCAAACCTGAACAGAGCTTGATGTCCCTCAATAAGCAAATTAATTTCATAAATTGTAGTATATGTATACAGTGGAAAAAAGATCAAACTTATGGTATACACAAAAACCTGCATGAATTTTTAAAATGTTAATGGTGAATAATAGAAATCAATCTCAAGAGAGTACTTTCTGTATCATCTCATTCATAATAAGTTTAGGAGCGTGCGAAATTGGCCAATGGTGATAGAAGTTGAAATAACACCTTTGGGAGCGGATGGATGCCTGAAGCAACTTCCAGGGCCAATGCAAATGTTCTGTTTTAATTAGAATGGTGGTTCTACAGGTTTACACATTTGTCAAATCAGGTCAAATCGCATACTTGAAATATATGATTCTATTGTATGTGATTTGGACTTCAATCAAGAAGGTGAAGTTATTATATCTCAACTCATAATAAATAACGGGCCTAGCTTATAATGATCAATGGAGACCAACCCTGTGGGGCAAGAGATTGGAGGGAGAGTTTCCATGGTAAAGTTGAATCTGAGAACAAACCCAGGCGATCCTTCTTGACATCATTAAAACCGGGGAGCACGAGCCTTCAGCCATTTCCAACGGTGTCAGATTACCCTTCCCAAATGAGCAGGTTTCCTTTCTAAGACCTTGGCATGATGATGCTATCAATGATGAATTCTGAAGTGAATTAGCTAATGAGTTTTTGAAGAATCCCATCAAAACCAATTCTTAGTTAAGCTATTTAAATACTGGAGGGTCCCTTAAACAAGAAATGTCCTTCACTCCACAACCCTGAGGAAAACACATGGTGTATTGGTAGCCGGAGTGAACATTCTTCCCCGGGTAGAAAGTAGAGGGTACCATTCCCGGTACACTGAACAAAGTGGATGCAGCCAGAAAAAGCACCAAGGCCTCCTTAGTGCTGTGGACTAAACAGACGAAAGAGAAAAACTCCATCAGTTTCACTGGTTGTCCAATTAAACGGCAGGGGAGAGTAAGACCTGGTCTCTGCTCTTGCTGTGGTGTATAACCTGCCGGGGCAAATTAGACAGACCATTAAAAGAGAGTGTCAATAAAAGCATCCAGCTTTGGCCAGGCAGCTCAGTTGGTTGGAGCACCGTCCTGTGCACCAGACAGTCACAGGTTTGATTCCCAGTTGGGGCATAAGCCTTGGTTGCATGTTCTATCCCCAGCTGGGGTGCCTCCAGGAGACACCAGTCAATGTTTCTCTCCCACATCAACGTTTCCCTCTCCCTTACTCTCTCTAAAATCAATAAACATAAACTGGGGCCAGGATTATTTTTTAAAATATCAATAAAGAGCTAGGGCATTCAGAAGAGGGAGAATTTGTACAGCAATGGTGGGGGTACTGGGGAAGTGACAGTGGACGTGGATGTCAAGAAAAAGTGGAATTGAGAAAGATAAGGAGAGGAAGAGGGAGAAAGGAGAGGAGTGACGTATCTGTGGTGTGCGTCCTGACAGGCCTAGCAGGGGCCCTTGTCACGAGCATCTTGTTCCTGATGTCCTCTTTCCTACAAATCAACCAGGCAACTGCTCAGCTCACTGCCTGCTGAGCAGCCCGATACTGAGGAATAGACAAGAGTCACACACAGTAACTACACCATTCACTCAGCTTCCATTGAATGCAGGTTCACTCAAAGCAGAACATCAACACACATGAATATCCTACTCACATTCTAACAGTCGAAGAGAACTATCACACACACACAGAGCAATCAGTAGGGGGATGATGAACCCGAGTCCCAGAGTCTCCGTCTGCAGGTCTGTGAGACAGCACGGTGGACTGATGAGGGAGTCATCAGCATCTTGCAAAGAAGGATCTCTGGAGCCAGGTGGGTTGTGGGGCGGGTGGCGTCCTCAGTCCTGCAGGGCAGAGCCTCCGAGGGGCTGATGCCAAGGGGGATCATCAGCGTGGTGTGGGGCAGCACCTGGGGTGTGCAGCCCAGCCGTCTCAGCAGTGGCCTGGAGCCTGCCTCAGTTATACCTTGAAAGTGGTGAACTCCACCCTTCTGGGCCCTTTCAATAAATGCCTTGACACCCATGATGCCAGGGGTGGAATTTGCCCAGGAGCCTATGGATGGAACATGGTTGTTCTGCTTGACACCCCTGCTGACAGGTGGGGAATTTCCCTAGGAGCCTGTCTATGGGTGGTCCTGTTAATGAACAGAGGTCTGAGGAGGGGGGCAATATTTGGCCCACCTAGGGACGCCAAAAACTGCTACAGAACAATAGCGGCCCCTCCCAAGGATGAAATACTAATATCTACTGGGCTCTTCTGTACGCTGCCAATTGGAAAGACATCTCTCAGTGCCAGGGATTTGTGAAAAGGAAAGGTTTATTTAGAGCTTTACAGAATTAAAAGTAGTGACCCAATGTCCCCATTAAAATATCAAAGTTAAGATAACCACAGATGCCCATAGCATTTCGTCCCCCCCTGCCCTAATTCGGGGTACCATATCTCAAGAAAAGAAGCACATGTCTGTGTTTCAGGCCGCTGGTACCGTCAGCTATGTTGCCGTGCAGGTATGATCTCCAGTTAATCCAGAGAACCGCCGTGCATGGTTCTCTCCTTCGAATGGCTGCCGCGTTTGGGTTTAAATCTCCGCACCCATCCTCCTTTGCAGTCCCATTTCCGACTCCTCCTACAATCAGTTACACCTGCCAGGACTCCCACATTATTGCAAGTTTACTGGGCTGCCATAGTTAGTCTGGGCAGGTATGGCCTCATGTCGTGGAGCCAATCAACTCCAAGCTCTCACGCAGGCCCTGTAACTCAGGGGACCAGCCCCCAGTTACACCCTGGGTAGAAGCCACGCCCTTTTCTCTGGCTCAAAGCAAGGCCACAGCTATTTAACATATCTATGAAACCAGTTAAGGGTTATAGATATGTTAAATGACCATCTCAGAGGTTAGCTTCAAAACTGTTGCTATGCAAAACAGCTCTCAATGGCTCTGCTCCATTTGTCCCCTCCCCCTGGGGGCGGGGGGTGGGGTTGAGGACATCTTAATATTTCCTGGACACCCTAAGCTCTGGACCCTGCTCTAAATTCCTCTCTGGGCCCCCCCACTTGGCTGTGCCCTGTTACAGTCCCATTCTGCAGAAATGTTCTGACCACATGGGCAGGTATGTCTCCTTGCCAGACATGTTTGCTCTGACGTAGGTCATTTTCCTCTTGAACCAAAGTGACATGGCTGACTGACAGCCATTTTAGTTGGCATAAGTGACTCCACTTTGTTTTATATACTTTATGCTGCCTTGATCGAACCAAGGGATTTTTACTGGTTCTTCTCCCCATGGCCATGTGTAAGCAAGAACTGTTACAGAAGCAGTAAATCCCTAATTAGCCGTTTCCCACTAACACTAGGTGTGGGTATCCTTTGTCAATGCTGAGAAAATCATGACTGAGTCTGAAGTGGACAATACCCGCTGGGAAAAATAATTTCGTGACCATAGAGGAAAACTGTGAGGGTCCACCATCCAATGGGTTCCTATTTCTGCTTCTCTCTAGTAAAGATAAATACATGCTTTACATGAAAATAAATACTTGTGAATTTTCAGCTAAGGGAGTTCTACTTTACCTCAATGATCTAAGTGAATCACAAGGTTCTAGAATAGTCTTGTTGTAAATGTTGCTGCACTGAGCTTCTTGGGGTCGCCTTCTTGGGGTGTGGACGCGCCAGTTCCTATAACGGGGGACCCGCTGTTGAGAATCATTGCCCTCTGACCAACACAGCAGCCAAGCGGAGGTGGGCGGGGCACCAGGAAGGAATTAACAAGAGAGCGGGACTACTTCCAGGGTGGGCCCGGCAGGGACCAGGGGCAGGCAGAGAGCGAAGGAGAAGCGTCGGTGACATTCTGGAGCGAGCCCTCGGGATGGCACGCACCTCACAGTTTGAGGTTGCAGTAATTGTAGTCACAGCACTCGTGGACGAGAAAGTGACCGTGGCGTTGGAACGTCAGGTCTCTACAGAACTTCTGGCACACCATGTAGGACAGCAGGTGGTTCCAGGCTGGGAGAAGGAGGGGCCGTAGCAGTGAGTCAGTGACCCAGTTCTCTGAAGACAAGTCAAACCTGGCGCCTGCCCCACCCCCACCCCCCACCCCACCCGCCGGTGAGAATGTAGCCAGGCACCGGGCAGTGATACAGGGTGCAGCCAAGAGGGGGCCCCCCCAAAAAAAAGATTTGGAATGGTGTCCAGAATTCAAAGTGTATAGGAATATTGGAGAGACATATAAGATGTCCTCACCCACCCACCCCGGGGGGAGGGGCGCATGGAGCAGGGCCATTGAGAGCTGTTTTGCATAGCAACAGTTTTGCAGCTAACCTCTGGAATGATTATTTAACATATCTATAACCCTTAACTGGCTTCATAGATATGTTAAATAGCTGTGGCCAAGTATTGAACAAGAGAGAAGGGAGTGGCTGGGACCCAGGAGAGGTAACTAGGGGCTGTGCCCCTGAGTGAGGAGCCCAGGTGTGAGAGCTTGGAAAAGATGGGCTCCAGGACATGAGGGGATAACTGCCCAGGTGAGGAGAGGGCCATGCCATTTGGGGCAGAATGGAGATCCCTGCAGCCAGGTGAAGAAGAAAGCCACATGCTTTTGGTGGAGTGTGAACCCCTGCAGCTTTGGTAGAAGAGGCCCACTCAGCTTTGGGGTGCCCCCTTTGGCCGTGTGGCCTGGAAAGCAGGAGAGACTTTGACTGGAACTGGGTACAAAGAACTCTTGCCAGTGGACCATGAGAGGGTACCACAGTACTTTGGATTAACTCGAGATCCTGCACAGTGACACAGCTGACGGTGCCAGCGGCCTGCAACACAGACATGTGCTCTTTTCCTGATTTATGGTACCCGGAGTTGGGACAGTGGGAGAAGGGAGAGCTGTGTGGGTATAGGTGTATACCCTAAAGGACTTTGCTATTTTAGTGGTGGCATTAGGCCTGAATAGCATTAAATAAACATTTCGTTTCCTTTTCACAAATCTCTGGCATTGAGAGATGCCTTTCCAATTGGCGGCGGACAGAAGAGCCCAGTAGATTTTAGTATTTTCTCCTTGGGAGGGGCCCCTGTTGTATAGCAGTTTTTGGCATCCCTAGGTGGGCCAAATATTGTATTGCCCCTCCCTCGGACCTCTTGTTTGGTAACAGCAGGGCGGGGTTCAGGACTGTGTCTGGCTTAGACTTCCCCTCGAGCCCCCAACAGGTGGGGCCCACACCACTGGCCACGGCAGCAGCAGTTTGCCTGAGGTCCCTGACAACCGTCCGCTCTCTGCCCAGCGGCTTCATTCCTTTCCCTGCCAGGAGATCAGCAGCTAGCACTTTCATGTCTGCAGAGCTGCAGTCCGATTGGATTGGTCCGTTTTCTTGGGAATGTAGAATGCCCACCTTCTCTCCCCGTCACATTTGCCCTGATCCCCTTCTGTCTGCATGCTCGGGGACCTGTGCTGGGTGCATTCTGCACCTCGGTCCCTCTCCTGGACAGGCCTTAGTCTGAGGTGTCAAATTGCTGAAGTACTCTCCTAAAAATTTTCTAAGGATCTCACAGCACCCCCACCCTGGCCCCCCAGCTTACTGTAGTCGTAGATCTTTAAGGTCATGCATTTCTCTTCCTCCTGAGCAACACAAACACCAAAGCCTCTTCTACAGCGATCTGAAGTCAGGTGAAGGTGGCAGGTTATACACATGAGAGCTGACCCTGCTGGATAGCACAGAGCTGGTGTGAGGCCCGGGGCGCGAGGGCTGGGAGGGGCTGCACAGACCCGGGTCCGGGGGAAGGGGGTGGGCGGAGCAGGGTGGTTGGCAGTGGAGGAGGACCTGGTGGCGGGGGTCGGGCCGTAAGCAGTTGGAGCCCTCGCCGACTCCACACCCCAGAGAAGTGCTTTCAGGAGAGTAAAAGGATTCTGGCCCCGACTTAAGCCATTTAACCTGGGTTACTGAGCAAAGACCTAGCCTTTGTGGCATTGGTTTTCCAGTGTAACCACAGTTTTATTAACTCTGCCCTGGCCTGTTCAGCAGCACTGTAGACAGGCCGGCAGGAGTGTGAGCCCGGGAACGAGTGCTATAAAGCAGTTTGCCCGAGCCAGTGTTCCCACCATGGGGTTTCGGACCTTTGCTGCTTAGAGGCCATTTAGTGATACACTCCACTCCTGAAATTCAGCCTGAACCTTTGCGAAGGCCTCGTGAACGACAGCACAGCCCGTGACACTTTCCGTGACACTGGGGGGAGCTCACCAAGATAGGCTTAATTCTTTTTAAACACCTCTCTCTGAGTGCACCTACATGAGAAGAGCCAGTCGTGTTCACTGAGCATCTCATCGGGGCCACATTCTCTCAATCTGCAGCCATCGAGCCACAGAAGCCTTGTGAGTGGGTGTTTCCTGGTTCTCAGGTGAGCGACCAAAAGAGCAGAGAATTAAAGACAGTGACGGAACCGTGGGTTTTTACCTGCCTGATCCCAGAGCATGCAGTTATTTGCTCTCCTGAAATCACTTCTTTGAATTTTAATATAAAGTCCCTGACAAGGATATGAGAGGCCATTGTCCAGCAAAATTAGTTCTTAGAGAGTGACTAGCTCCCCGAAGATATGTATACAGACTTCCAAATGGAAAGCTCGTCCCAGGGAAAACCCTGTCAGGATTTTGGATCATAGGGAATGGTAGGGAAAGGGTGGGGGAGGCAGCGAGGAGGGACAGCTGGAGAGGCCGGCACCCCTGCTGGGAGTGTCGGCAGAATGTGGAAAAGGGCCTGTTTTGAAGGCTGGCTTCCTCTCCCTTATAAATGTAGTCCCGGCTTAGCCCTGCACCGGTCCCTGTTACACAGGTGGAGATTCCCTGGGCTCTCTGAACCCAATCTCTGGAGCCCACTCCTCGGCTCTGTGACTCACCCTCAAAGCAGCAGAAGAGGGAGAAGACCAACAGGACGTGCTTGTCCATCCTGATGCAGAACTTGCTTGACCAGGGAGGAGAGAAGCCAGGGTCAGCAAGCCCCAGTCGTTAGGCAACAGGCGGGAGACCTTCTTCGTGGCGGGGCAGGGGTTATTCATGCGTGAGGGAGTGATCCAATCACACACGGCTTTCCCTGGGAGCTCAAGTTCATTTCTCTCCATCCGCGGCAGAGAATAATGGTGACTGAGAAATAAATGCTAGCGTTTACACTAGGCTAAACTTTGTTTGTCATCATAGCGGTTATTATTAGTATTATAGCCATGATATTACAATTCTTGTTCAAATTTCCCACAGGAGGAAAGTGGGTCTTGGAGAGGTTTCGCATCTCACCCACAACACACCGCTGGTGACCGACGGTGCCAGTGCTCGGAGCAAGACCTTCGGCCTGGAGGGGCTGTGCTCTCACCACCCTGAGTCCGTGCCTCTCGGGGATTCATCCCCACACTCAACAAACACGCACTTCGGGCTGCACGGCCAGATGCAGGTCTCTGCGTGAGAGCAGGGCGATGAACAGCTCAGACCAGCTCCCCTAGCTCCTTACCTTGTGGGTGAGGAACAGGAAGGTGAAAGAGATGACGAGACCTATAATCTATGACCCAACAGGGCCTGCACCCAGGGCTCCTGATTCCCAGCCCAGAGCTCTTTCACTTGACCAGAAATCCAGCCTCCGAGATCAGGGACTATTCACTTTGTAAGGCTGTGAAAAGCCCCTAGAATTATCACACAACCTGACCTCCAGCAAATTTATGTTGTGGACCTGGCCAGTTTTGTCTATGATGTAGGTAAGCATTCCGCACAAAGGGGAACTCAGTTAAGGTTCACCCTGGGTGAGGTTCCGGGAAACTGTGGCCAGCGCTGGCATCTAAACCTCCTGCGCCTGGCGGTGGGCTGGTGGGGCCTGTTCTAGCCATACCGAACAGATTCAGCCACATGCTCTTTAGCTGTAGGAATAATACCTTGCATAAAACATGCCAAGTCTGACCTTTGGAGATATGGGATATAGATCACATGAAATAAAGTCTTGGGTCAAATGCCAGAAAATTGACAGACATCCTTGCCTAGGAAGAGAGCCAAACGCTGTAGACATGAGGGGATTGGTTCTGAAGCCAGTTGATTCTCGACTTGGAGAGCAAGACTGTGAAGTCTGTTCCGTCCTCTGCCGTATTTGCAGTGAGGGTGTTACAATCAGCATGGAATTTTCCAGGACTTCCCAAAGGCCTATCAAGAAGGCAACCCCCTGAACCTTGGGTGCTTGGGTTTCCAAGATTATCAGGTTTTCTCTGCTTTGTCTGTTTAAAGACAGCGACTCTAGAATCATAGCCCAAGAAGCAGACATTCTAGGGGGAACTGCAACAGGTTTGCACAATTTCTCTTCTTCCATCCAGTCCCCCGTGGCAGGTACTTTCGGAAGGGCCCATTGAGTTCTGGATCTCTTTTCGACTGGATTATTTTCCACTAAGAGCATGGAATTCTGTAACTCCACCCAAACATTGGGGTCCTCTGACCTACTCACCATTCTCCTATAGAAACACATCTACTCAAGTTACTTGTAAGAACAATTTCTTCATTTAGCATGGAGTAGGAGAGAATAGGAGCCTGCTCATAGAGGCAGTGTGGTGTACTAGAAATCGCATTTCCCCCAGCGTTTGCAGACCTGTGCTTGATTGCTAGGCAACCCATGGCATCCTTGCCAAGCCATGTATCTGTGAGGTGAGTGTTTGACCGTTTTTATGATCCCTTAGAACTTTGACATCCTACGGGTCTATGATGTACATCATGAGGATGGCTACCGAGTTCTGTGACGCTCGCCTAGCACTGCCTAGCACACGGTGCTGGGCTGAACACGTGACAGCTGAATGAAGACATGAACTAATAAAAGTGTTGCTCTGATGAGATCCCCCTCCACGGCCCCACAGACACAGAGTCTGGGGGGCACAGCACCCTCATTAATGCACCCCCACGGCCAGAAGGCTGCCACTAGACTGAGACGCCATTTGTCCTGCTCTGCAGAGATGAAAGCAGAACATTGTGTCCTCGTGACCCTGGTCTCTCGGCTCGGGGTGGGTGACTGAGATCTTAGTGATAGCGCAGATGAGCAACCTCTTACCTTGAGGTTCTAAATTCTGCCCTTTGTCTTGGGGAAATGGACCTTGGCATCAAGTCAGGGTCGGGTCGCTTTGTTCCTGGGTTCCCAGTGGGCACGGATGGCTTCCCAGAGTGTGTGTGTTGTGTGTAGGTGTGTGTGTGTGGAGAGCCTAGAGTGAGAGATAAGGGTCCTTTAAAAAATGTGATGGGTGGTACCTTCTGGTGGGGGCCAAGGAGGTCACCTGGAGTTCACAGAGAGCCCCCCACACCTCTGAATGCTGGTGGGAAGAGCAGGAAAAGAGAACAAAACCGACCAATCGATATTTTCTCTCTGTCCCCTCTCCCTCTCCTTTCTCTCTCTCTGTCTCTCTCTCTCCCTTCCTCTCTCTATAGAAACAATGAAAATAAAAATGTCCTCGGGTGAGGATAAAAAGACAAAAGTCGCATCCAACGCCCTCCCCCACCCCCACCTTTGCACAGAAGCGTCTGGGTTAGGCAGGCACACTGGAGTGCCCCTCCTCTCGGCCCTCACCCACGGCCCTGGTCTCTAACATGAGGCTCTGACGCCGGGGAGACCACCTGTTTGTGTCCCGGTTTGCTCATCTTCCCTTCCTGAGATACTGGCACTTGGTATGTGTTTGGTAATTATTTTAATGACAAAATCAGTCACGTGAAGGAAAAGCAGACACATTTCACCTCCGCTCACCTTTTCCCTAGAACCCGAAAAAATCAGACGTTATTCTGAAGACAGTGACTAGGTTAGTGAAAAGAGCTAAAGGCAACTCAGGTGTCCAAACCCTGTCCTGATCTACCTGAAAGATTAAAATGGGAAAGCGAAAGTCGACTTTCCTTGCAGAGCTCAATGCTTAGCTACGCAACAGCGAATCTACGTATATATTGGCTCATCCCTGGAGAGAATTTTACATGTAGTCACCTAGAGGTATTGAGCTTCCGGTGGGCGGTTTGGTTCTGGGAACACTAAGGAACTGTCTGTCCCTGAAATTTTATGATTTCATAGTTTAGCTGAATAACCCGAGACAGATCCCTGGAAAGCTGACCAGCTTCTTCCTCAGGAAACTGCACACGCCCCGGTCCCAGGATGTTCGCTCTGTTTCTGCTGGGTATCGTCTCTCTGGTTTGGACAAGTAACGGTAAGTCTTAGAAGCAGAGGAGGAGCTGCCTGTTGGTTAGGAGATGGGCAGATGCTGGAGGAGGAGAAATTTCCCAAATTGGCTTTGGGGATTCGGGGCTCTGGCAGATAAATGAGGGATCATGATAAGAACGATGTTTTTCTTCTTTTCACAGGGGACTTTCATGAACACTTGCCAGGTACGACCATGCCTAGTCTAAAGTGCTTGGTAAACCTCCCCTCCAGCTTCAGGGAAGGCCAGCCTCTGTCTTTCCTGCAGAATCCTAGAAGTGTTGTCTTCGCCCAGCCCCAAGAAGTCCATTGCTTGTAGTAAGGAAGTGAAAATCCCCTCTGTTATTCCCCTTTCCCAACTACTGACCAAAAACCATCTAGATTTTGGGCAGACAAGGGGCTAGCAACTTGGGGGTCCGTAGATAAGTTTTGCAGGAACTCCAGCCTTGGGAAGCCATTCACAACCTTTGATTTATGCCGGTACATGTTGTTTTTCACAAAGATCAACCAAGGAGAAAGATTAGGAGCCAGTAGGCAAGAGGAAACTGCTGGGAGGAGCTCATGGCCTGTAGCCCCGTCCCACAGACACACACAAACTGCGTAAAGCAGGCTGTGGCTTCTGCGGGACGTGTGTGTGGTGCGGAAGCGTCCCCAGAGCACACGCGTGAAGCGCCTCTGTCTGTGTTGGCAGAGACTGCAATATTGTGCTATAAGTGTGAGAAATACCACCTGGGGCTGTGCTACGACAGCATGACGTCCTGCATCCTGCAGTACCAGCAGTCCTGCGCCATCGAGAATGTCTACATCCTCCTGAGAAAAGGTAGCGTGGCGAACAGAGGGCCGAGACAGGTGCCCTCCTTCCCTCAGGGACAAGGCCGCCCCTGTGCCCAGAGAGTGTGTGAGTGGGCTGGGCAAGGACGGGGTGGCCCTCCAGAGGGCCTGGCAATATTTTCCTGAAGGCGATATCGAGGGAAGGGGAGGCTGAGGTGCCTCGCTGGTCGGGGGACAAAGTCCATCCTCCAGGTCATGCAGCTCTGCGGCTCCGAAGGGCCCAGAGGCAAATTAGTGAGGCTCTGAAAACAAGTGGGGGAGACAGTCATCCCAGCTGGATTCCCACTCTTTTCCCTCCTCAGGGCGGAGTGTATACTATTATTCAAAACTGTTGTGCATGACCAACTGTGAGGACTTCAACATCTTGGGGTTTGAGACGAGGACAGAGCTGATCTGTTGCAAACATAGTAACTATTGCAACCTCCCCGTGGGATCCTAGTTCCACCGCTCTCCTGGGTTTTGCGTCATTCATTCTTTCTCTCAGCGTCCCCTTCCCATCTTTCCCCAAACCTGTATTTTGCTCTCCTGTCCTAACAATGCTGGGGCGTGAGCGAGCCAGAGGGCAGTGGAGAGAGTGGCAGTCAGAGGAGGTGGTGGTGGAGGGTGGCTGAGTCTCGGGGATGGTGGAGCATGAGGCTGCATTTTTGCAAATCTCTGTTGCTCACACCAGGGGGGGATTGGTTTCCTTACGCTGGTGATGCCATGAACAGGGTTGGGTGTGACTTTTTTCCCTAAATATCTTCTATATGGGAATGCAAAGACTTGGGCCAAAATAATCCCAAATACTACTGAGAATTCTGTGACCATACTTTATCCTCATCCCCGGGTTGGGATTTTTTTTTTTTTAGATTAGTCCCGATAGCCCCTGTCCATGTCTTACGGGGCTTTGATGTGTGCAGGTGAACGCACCCCTTCAGCCTGTTAACACAGATACATAAACTTTGTGAAACAGTATATGGCTTCTATGTCTTTCTTTCATCTGGTGCATCTGGTGCGCTGGAAACCTTCCAAGAAGTTCCCGCTTTACCTGCACGTAAGTAGCTTGTCCGAATAAGATGCTGGTCATCTTAAATGGCCTCTATGCAAATGAAGACAGAAGCCAGGTAATCTAGGGTAAACATGCTGTTCCCAGTAGTCAGAGCCTTCACACCTGGCTACCGTGTAGAGAGAAAGGAACTATTCTTAGCCAGATCTGTGGACCCCCCATCAAAGTGAATGTGGAAATGTATGTCATTGAATGAGAGCGCAAAGGCACGGCCAGGAAGAGAGGGCGAGAAGGGCAAGGCAGAGACGGCTGAGGTGTAGAAATCTGGATGGCAGGTTAGGAGCAGTATCCAGAAACTTCTCCATAGGGGACCCTGCCTTTTCTTCTGTCCCTCGAAGAGTGAAGCTCTCTACTCCCTTTCGTGGGGTTCCTGGTTCCCCTCACTACCTGCAGTATGAAGGAGGAGGTTTTGACTTTCCAACCAATAGAGGCCAACAGGTGAGCTCACGTGACCTGGGGTCTTCAGGAAATAATAAGTTCCTATCACAGAGTGTTAACACTTGGGGAGTTTTGCTGGACTTAGACTCAGGTGGGGCATGGATCGTCTCCCAAGAATCCCTGGAAGTTCCCCTCAATCTTTTCCATCTGACAACCTCTCCTTGCCTCCCCGGTAACCGAGCTCTGACCCCGCACCTGGGCTGAAGTCGGGGTTCTAACATTTCTGGCAAAGGGAACAAAGTCTTTTCTTCTGGGAGAGCTCATGAGGGAGGGTCAGAAGAAAGCAGACTAGATAGAAATTCGGACAAGAAACCAGAGGAGACTTTAGAACTATTTGGGAGGACAGTGGAGGAGGTCCCTGATGGGGGCTGGCGAGGGCCTGTGGAAGCAGCGCCCTGAGGAAGCCAACGGGAGATTAGGAAACGCTGACTTCCGTGGAGGCTGCGGTGGGTGCACCGGACGCGCGAGGCTCGGTCCTGCCCGTTTTAAGAAACTGTTTTAATGACACCTACTCCTGTCCACACGTGCCTGATCACCGTGTTTCCGATCATTTCATCTTGCTCTCATGGCCAGAGCCCAGTACTGTATTTCATGGCGTGTACTGTGCAATTTTTGCCCAAACCTCTGAGGGAAAAATAAAGATGTGTATTACATGTGGGTGTAATAATTATATAGTATATGGTTACATAATCCCGTGTTTAAAGTGCACACAGCGTGGCTGCCGTTATACACAGTGACGTACGGTCTGACAGGATGGGCGCTTGGCTGAGTGTCGGCCAATCACTTCGTCGCCTGGCTTGCTGTAGGTCTTCACTCCCCCAGACCTCAAAGACATTTAACTACCACTTTGCTCTGAATGCACCCACTGGTAGGACGCTGGGTGTTCCCGATCCACTGGGCAGCCCCGTGACTGACGACATCAAGGAGAGATCCGTGACAGGGCTTCGCTGCTGTTTTTCGAGCAAACGATTGGGCCATGGAATGAAACAAATTAATCCCTGATTTATTCCTCACTTCGTTTAGGTTTAATTATTTTTACCATGTTAACCTCTCTATGGGTTAGAATCTACATACACCATTATGTGCATTTTTAGCTGTAGAATATTATCCCTGGTCTAGTAGTATCCCTGCGGACATCCAGGCTTATACTTGCTTGTTAGTTTCTACCACATTGTATTTGCACAAACAGGATAAAATACTTGAATATTCAATGTTTTAATTGTAAAACATTGGCATAATGTGTAGGCTAGTATTTCCCCCTAAATTGTGTATTGTTAGGATAAACATTATACTATACTTTAGCATCCTGAAAATACTTTAACTACTTTAGCCTCTCCAGGTAGAAAATGGGGTAGACTCTTCCATTCAGGGCTGGTTAATTAATTTACGTGGGTAGACCAAGGGTACTGGCCGTGGGTTCCAATAATGAAATCATTCATGGAAGGATTACAGTGATGTACAGTTAGTGACTCAAGCAAGTCAAAATTAAACACTAAGGAAGCTTCAGATTAGAGACAGACACAAGGTAGGTGGCAAGGAGGCCCCTGGCTGCAGTGAGCGATACAGGCAGGGAGAGACTGACCAATACGCATTTACAACTAAGCTTCAAGCGAAGATTGGCAAACCACTGTGGCCAGGCCCCCAGATTTTGTCATATCCACACGGGTCTCCAGGCCCAATCTCCCTGAGCCTGCCCTATTATGCTTCCTAGCTCAGATTTCCAGGAGATTCTGACCCCCAGGTTGCCCTCGTTACAGTACCCCGCACCCCCTGATTTTCTTGGTCCAATGCAAGCTCGTCCCTGTTCTTTACATCTTACGAAAATATATTTATATAGAGCAAACGAGAAGCGGCAGGAATCGTAAGGGAGTCCAGACCCTGAGCAAGTGCCCTTGTTCTAGACTCAGGTCCAGCATGCTCTTCAGGCCAATAACCCTCTACCTACCAGAAAAACAGGAAAAGCAATTGTTCTTGAGAATAAATGTGTCCCTAGGTACAATGCAACATTATTTACAATACGCAGGACACAAATGAAGTGTCTACTGACAGACTGGGTAAAGAGGATGTGGTCTGACATACAACGGAGCACCGCGCGGCCATAAAAAGACAAAATACTGCCGAGGGTGGCGGCGTGGGTGGGGCTTGACGGCATTCCCGCTTCGCGAAATGGAGAATAAAGACCTTACCATTTTACTCCCATGTGGGCTATGCAACGAAAAGTAACAAACAAACTAAGAAAATAAACAAAAACAAACGCAAAGATACAGAGAGGATGGGGCTGAAGAGGGGGAGAGAGGTGGGGGAGGGGCAGGGGGCAAAGAAGGCCGGTGCCTGGCAACTAAAGGGACGTGGCCTGCAGGTGCGGGCGCGCAGGTGCTCAATTACCACTTTGCACACCTGGAAGTTCCATGATGTTGTGAACCAATGTTACCCCAATACAACTGAGTTTTTTAAAAGCCTATAAGTAAGAAAAAATAAACCCAATGTTGATGAAAGACTTAAACGGAAGACATAAAACTATAAAACTCTGAAAAGAAGCAAGGAAAAACTTCACAGCATTTGATTTGGCAATGATTTCTTGGCTCTGACATCAAAAGCACAGATAAATTGAGTTCCATCAAAATCAAAAGTTTCTGTCTACCAAATGATGGGATCAACAGTGAACAGGCCACTCGTGGAGAGAAAAACCACACAGCAGGTAAGTCCTCGGGGCGCGGAAAGGGCTCCCCCAGCACAGCAGCAAGAGCAACCTGCTGATTTAAAAATGCACAGAGGCCTTGAATAGACATTTCTCCAAAGAAGACATACACAGGGCCCGACATCATGTAGAAACCACAGTGAGATTCCACTACACGATCACAAAAGCAGAAAATGGCAAGTGTTGGTGAGGACGGGTTCTCAGTTGGAAGTGTGCTTATTTAGGAAATCGCGGCACCATCGTACATAACGAATGGAGGCTCGGTCAGCCTAACATCGTCCAGAGACTCATTACACATGTCGTGGCTCCGGCAGCACCTGAAGTTCACCATGAAGACGCCCCATCGTATGCTGTTCACGTTCGCGCAGTTCTTCAGGCAGCCCATGAAGGTCAGCCAGAGAAAACCATCATCTGTTGGGAGGGAAGACAGACAGACAGAGCCGCAGAGGGCCTTCCCCCACCCCGCCCCAGTACAGGGCAGGTCCAGGGGAAGGAACACAGCATCCTAGTGGTTGGTAGAGCACTAATATGGGGGTGATACTCTGTAGTTTTAATTTGAATGTTTCCCCTAAAATGTCCTATGGTGTGCTTGAGTGTGATGTTGTTATGTTACAGAATGACATGGTTATGATTTTGTACTAAAAGGGGGGGGAATGTTATTTGTGCTGGACCCTGTAGCTAAAAGCCACCTTGTGTCATCGCAGGCTCTGTGATTCCAATGTGAAGAGTTGGAAGGGGTCACCAAGGGGAGGGGGTGTGGGGGAGGGGAGTGGGGAGCTTTGCAAATGAAAGGCAGCAGTCAAGCAGCTGGAAGGAATGGGGGTGCCAGGGGGACCCTGACAGCAGCAATTCTGGGAAACCCAGACGTTTCCCCTGAGAATCAGCACGGGCTTAAGCGAGGGTTATAAATGCCAAGGAGTCACTTAGCATAGAGGGTAGGAGAACAGAGAAATCTCGATGTTTATAGTCTCACTCAGCCAGTTATTGAAGCCAGTCTCTCTTGCTGGTCCCCAACTCCACCCCCGCCCCCAGCCCTCTATTGCGAAGGTTGAAAACCACCCACGAGGAATTCCTGGCGGGGTCAAGGAGCCGACTTCCGGGCTCCTAGGCCCAGTTGTTCCCCAACCAGTTTCCTTTCCTTTTTTTTTTCCTTCTAGTTTCTCAGAATACTGTTCTCGGCCTCCCTCGGTGATCCCCTATTGCCATTCCACTGTTCTTCCAGAAAGGTGTGTGATGGGGGTGAAGACGCCAGCCACTCCCGGGGATGACTGCCGGAGGTACGGTGTGGCCCCTCTGGCTGGCTTGTCCCAGTCTGCTTCTTCGGCCCCTTATTTCTCCCCCCAGCCCGCAACTTACTTTTGAAAATCTTCCCGGTTGTGCAAGCCTCTTCCTCTGTCACAGTGCACACTCCCCGGCCTTTGAAGCAGCTGTCCCCTGGAAACTGGATGTGGCACATCCTACACTGGACAATTTCTTTAGCGGGGGGCCGGAGAGTAGGGGGACAGAAGTGAGAGCAGGAGTCACGTGCTGTGAAAGCACCCATCCTTCTTTTCAGGCCGAGGTTCTGCTTGGAGCCTGGGCGGCTTTGCCAGAGGTCCATTCAGCAAGGGCACCTGCCTCTATTCAAATGGGCTAAGCCTCCCTGGCTGAAGTGCCTCAGTGGATTGAGCGCCTGCCTGTGAACCAAAGGGTCATGGGTTTGATTCCCAGTCAGGGCACATGCTGGGCTGAGGGCCAGGTCCCCAGTAGGGGGCGCATGAGAGGCAACCACACATTGATGTTTCTCCCCCTCTCTGTCTCCCTCCCTTCCCCTTTTTCTGAAAATAAATAAAGTATTTTTAAAAATAATAATAAAATAGGCTAAGCCAAGAGAGGGACTGGAGTTTATGTTCTCAAGAGTTTTAGCCTGAAAGAAATGGGAGGGGAAAGAAAGGAAAAGAGGAACAAATTCAAGACCAAGAAGATCAGATCAGGTCCCCTTCATACTCACCAGGAAAAGCCTGTTTATCAAAAGATAGGTGGTGGATTGCACTGACAAAGAGAAATAATACATAAAACAAATTTGCAATTTTTCCTGAGATTTACCCCCCTCAACTTCCTCACCCCTGCATGAGGCCCTCTTAACCCTTGGAAGGCAGGGGGTCTGTGCTGTGCTCTCAACCGGGAGCCACCCCAGGCCGCTTCTGTCTCTCGGAAACCTGGTTACCTACCTCGCGGTTTTGGTGACCCAGCCAGGAGAAGACGCCCGAGTGGTAAGCCCCCTTCGCTGCTCTGACACCCAGGTTGCCCCTTTCCGTTGCCATCTATTCCGTTTCGGTGAGTCTGATGTTCCCCGATGGAAGGTTGGCTACTAGGCATGGTTGGACCTTCCATACCGGATATCAGTCACCACCTGGCCTGCACTATGACTTCCTTTTGCAGTCTCCTCATCAGGCTCACAGATAGTCTTTTATGCTTGTCCTCCCCGACTGACTTTTGGCCTTTATACCTGCGTTCGTACCCCACTTGCCTTTTGTGTACATCCTCAGGATGTATATACTATCATTACAGGGAGCAACATTGCCCAGAACCGCTTAACAGGTGCCTGCTGGTCATCTGTTACTAGAATGGCCATGTGGAGCCACTCTTACCTACTTAATTGAATTTTGAATTCTAATATGGTTTACTTATCCCTATAAGGGTATTTTAATTTCCCCTCTCAGTCCAACATCCCTCTATGAGATGTCTGGTATGAAGGGTGGTGCTTTAGACACTGAGGCACTTTCTGGGGAAATTTCAGACTCAGGTACAATTTCTTAAAGCTCTGGAAAATTAGATAGAATACTTGAGGGTTTTCTTCGTGATTTGGAAAAGAGTCATTTTATAATAAGATCGTCTTGGGTGCCCCTCTTGATGGTTTTCAGGGCCAGAAACTTTTTCTAGTAAGACACTTCCTTTGCCCCAGACCTGAAAGCTTACAGGAAAATGAGGGTCTCCATAGATGGAGAATACAGAAATGGAAATGTACTCGGGCCACAAGGGTAGAGCAGTGAGTCTGGGGTTGTCAGGATTATAGGCAATTGCTCAAGAATGCTGGACTGGTTCCTTCCCAACAGTTCTTTGCAGCCTGGACACTCAGTATAGGACCATGGAATCCTGCAAATCCTCCAGGGAACTCAGAACCTCTGAATTAAACAAAGAGAAAGAAACAGACATAGACTGTGGCGATTCTCTCAAGTCTTTTAGATTTCTGTCGGCCGACACTCAACTAGGATTTCTTTTGCCAGAGACGTGTGGTAGGTCGGTGGGATCCTGGGGTGCCCTGTGCCCACTAGGAAAGCTCCTGAGGCAAGAAAAGAGGGATACCTCTAGATTGCAAAGGAGTGTCTTTGTGGGATTTTTTTTCCTTCTCTTTCGGCTCACTGCAGTTGAGATGGGAACCACACCTTCCATCCCTTTTAAATCACCATTGGGTTGCATTCTTAGCAATTGAGATAAATTTGACCCAAAATTTTTTTAAAAGAAGAGATTAGTTTTTTTTTTGTAACACTGGAGCCAATATAAATTAGGGGGCAGAGAGATATGGCCTGAGAATGGGAGCAGGAATTATAAGACTACCCTACAGTTGGAGATGTTCTGCCGAAGAGAAGGCAAATGGTCTGAAACTCCTTCCGTGAAGGCATTTATGGCTCTGTACTGAGATCCCTCGTTTTGCTCCAGCCCCACCCTGACAGAACCTATAGACCCAAGTGTTGATCGATTAGGAGATGCCTGTAGTGCTAGGGACTTTTAGCTGCCAGATACTGAGTTTAAGTACTGAGTTGAAGTATAGTCCTTCCCAGTGTGGGAAAGGAACAGGGATTAAAAGTAAATTATGGATAAATCCGATGGGTTAAAAAGGCTATAGAAGGTTTGTGAATGCTGCAGAACGTTTGTGGGAAGCTGTAAAGATAAATGGAAATGGGAAAGTTTTGGAAAGAAATTATGTGGTGTTAGTAATGGAAGGAATAAGGCATGGAGATGCATTTTGGTGGGTATCGGAAGGAAAAGGATTTTCCTTCAAGCTTTGTATTTTTCTCCTTACCTGATCCCTCCAGAGTTTGGCATTCTGAAGGAATGAGTGATGACATAAGGTTTCTTTGCATAAATCCAGTAAGACCAGTCGTTAATAGTGATTTTATTAACCAAGATTTTAACTGGAATGTCATGCCTGAAGGAGGCATATCTGGGTTCTGGTTGTTACCAGAAAGCCCTGAGGAACTGTGATTGACTTGTGAAGCTAACAAAAGCCCACGAGAAAAGCCTGGTACTTTGGTTGGCTGTGCAGTTCGTGGCAGTCTTTCCACGGAAGGAACAAAGGTTGCTTTCCTGAAAGATGGCGAAAAAGGAACCTATAGGCACAATGGAAGCCTCAAGGATTTTAGTGAAACAACTGGTACAGGCAAAGCCAGATGGCAGATGTGTGGCTCTGCTTCTGTGCCCCCAGGGGTGGACTAAGAAGTCAATCTAAGGGTTCCCTGTGTGAGTTCCAGCAAAGCAGACTTAAAGATCATAGATGATCCAGGCTGTTCTTGGTGCGTTATACAAATAAACAGTCAAAATCAAAAGTGGGACCCAAAGTAGTCCCTGTAATAACAGTGAGGGTGATCTTAAGGAGAAAAATTGTATTCAGGAAAATCACAATGCTCAGTACTGGATGTCAGAATGGTGTGGCTAACTGACTTGAAAGTTTGTTTTCATTTGGAAGTTGAAACTGGGTTTGTAATATCACCAAAGATGTTCAATCTACAGGCATGAAGGACCTGTCTAATTGCCACTATTAGATGTCATTGAAGCAGAGGCCTTGCAACTGGATGTCTTCCCAAAAGACAGTGTCACAGAGATTGGCTTGGGAATTGTTGTGTGGACTGACATGTGTGCTCTTCCTTCTGTTTTCATAGGGCCTATGCCTGTGACCTCACTACCTGAGCGATTGCTTACAATATAGACCTCATTTAAGGAGCCCATCTCCATCATTGCCCCTCAAGACTTAATGGTTTGGCTGAACTAAGTGGTTAGGTTGGTGAAGGGTTCAGGCAGTCTGTGGGCTTCACCTTGAGCTGATTTTCCCTTTTCTGTCTTGATGGCTTGGATAGAAAGGGCCCAGATATCTGAAAGGGGGAAATCCTAAAATATTCCCCGCAGCCTGAGCTAACTAGAGTGGGCCACACGGGCTTTGGAGAGATGCACCTTCCTCCAGACAAGCCGTTCTTTGCCTAAGTCCCTGTCTTTGTCATTTAGTGGTCATGATTTAATTGTGCCTTCCAACTGTCTTGCCATATATGTCACCTCCAGAATACGATGAGGATGCCAACTGTCCAGTAATGCCAGCCTTTGGACATCGAGCCTGCAAGTTCCTGGTGACAGCCCAATGACCTGGATTCTGTAAGGTCCTTCTCCTCACAGGAAGGATGCCCTGTATGCTGGCCCCCTCCACTCTTTCAGGGAACCCCTGACCCAAGGGTAGGTAAGATGACATCCATGTCCAGCTGGAAGTAGCAACAAGAAGATGAGGCCTTCACCCATTGTCCCTTTATATGATTATAAAGAGGCAATATATCTTAAAGGGGGATTTGTAGGAGGGTGCAGCCAGGGGCCCCCCAAAAGAAGGATTTGTAGTGGGGTAAAGAACTTGGAGTATCCAGGAAATATTAAAAGTATGGGATGTTCTCACTGCCACAAGTCTGAGCTAAGGGATGGGACACATGGAGCAAGGCCATTGAGTTGTTTTGCATAGCAACAGTTTTGCAGATAACCTCTAGAATTGTCATTTAACATATCTATAACCTTTCACTGGTTTCATAGATATGTTAAATAGCTGTGGCCTTGCTTTGAGCCAGGGAGAATAGAGTGACTTCCACCCAAGATGTAACTGGGAGGCAACTCCCCAGGCCCCATTACAGCACCCGAATGACAGCTTGGAGTTGATTGGCTCCACATCATGGGGCCACACCTGCCCAGACTCACTATGGCAGCCCAGTAAAGCTGGAAGGATACGGGAGTCCTGGCAAGTGTAGCCAATTGTGGGAGGAGTTGGAAATGGGGCTGCAGGGAAAGACTGGCGTGGGGATTTAAACACAGATGCAGCAGCCATTAAAGAGAGAACCATGTGCTTTTGGCCAAAATGAGTACTCCCGCAGCCCTGTGAGAGAGAATCACCATGTAGCTTTAGCAAAGAGAACCATGCAGCTTTGGCCAGAGTGGAGGGACCCTCCCCCGACCCCCGCAGAAGGAGAAGACCCCCTTGGCTTTAGCAGAGAACCACCAGCACAACTTTAACAGAGAACCACCACGCAGCTTTCTACTTCTTTTCCTAAGATACAGTACCCCAGACAGGGCAAAGGGGGAAAGAAGGACTGTGTGTGTTTGTGGGTGTTTTAAGGGACTTTGGGATTTTGATGAAGTCATTAAGTCATTACTCTTAAGTCTGTATAACTTGAATAAATAATTTCTTTCCTTTTCACCAATCTCTAACATGGAGAGCTATAATTCTCTGGCAAAGGGAAAGGCGAACCTAGTACAGGGGGACCCCAGGAGAAGGGGGAGTCGACTAGGTAACATTGTGGGACCCCCCTCTCTGGTGGCCAATCTGGGAAAACCATGGAAGACCACATGTGCAGTAGTTTTAAAGTAATACAACTACTTGTATATGCACAGTGAAAGCCCACCAAAACTAGCCAGGAGGGATCCGCCCTATAAGAATAGAGTCCCTCCAGCCCATAAGGTCAATCTCTGCTTGGAGTTGGCTTGCTCCCACGTTCTCTGCTATAAACTCTGGGTGTTCGGTTCAGTTCTTTGTCCCGATCACCAAGAACCTGGTTACCTGTGCCCACCCGTGACAGTGGCACCTCTGCACCCCTTCCCTCCTTTCCTTACTCTTCACCTCTCTGTGGCCTCTCACACCCCTGCCCATTCTTCTAGGGAGAGTCACAGACCAGAAGGAAAAAGATAAAAACACTTTTGTAAAAACCTCATTCTATTTTCAATTGACCCCATGTGGCTTTCTTACCAACATGTGCCCGGAAGCTGACAAGGGGAGAAATTGCATCTGAAATTCATGAGTTACGCTTTGGATTTCATCTGTACAGGCAACATTCTCCTTTCTACCTGCCCTTTCTCTTGTGCTTTATTAACTGGCCCTAAGGTGTGTTAACTGCTGCTGTTCCTGTTACCTTATCAAACTTAACATCAGCTCCCAGCTCAGCCCCGTGCTGCTGGAAGAGGTTGCTGAGTGTTGAATTTCAGGGTCTATCTCTGGATTCCTTTCAATCCCGAGTGCTGGCCCTGCCCATCTCCCCCGCCCCTGCCCCCGCCCCCCAAACCACTCCCCCCCCATTTCCCTCTCCCACCCCACTGGTCCATTTCTACTCACTGTGCCTGCACTTTGTCTAAAAAGGACCCAGAGAGTACTGTTGGGGAAAAAAAAACAACACAGTCTCTGCAGATCTCATTTTAACAACCTCCCCACCCCCAGCTTCTGTGAAAATCCTCTCGATTCCTATAATCCACCAATGTTTTCCTGAAAGGGGAGGAGAGCAGCTTGGGTGCACGTCCCAGGGACACTGTGGTGGAAGACATGGCGTTAGGAGGACCTCTTCTGTCCCCACAGGGTTCCTGCAATAGGACCTGTGCCATGGAAACCCTGACGCATTCGGGGACCCTTCACACATCCCTCCACCTGTCAACCCCCAGGACTCACCTCTGAAGCTGCAGAGCAGGATGGGGAGCCCCAGAAGGAGGGACTTGTCCATTTCGAAGGGAGAGAGGAATGGGTTAGGGCAGGAAGCTGCGAGGTGCCTATTTATACACCCGCCAGGCTGGGCTTCCCCAGGGCGGTCTAGGGGCGGGGACACGGCGGACACTGCTCCGCTCCTAGGGAAACCAAGGGACTCCGTCATTTCTCTTTCTGGCCAGTCAGGGGAGAGGGACCGGCTAGGTAAATCCTGGGCCTGGTTTACTCCAGTCCCACCGCTCGGGATTTTTGATGTCATGTTCTGCGGCCTTTCCATTAAACCACGCCGTGGGAGAGTACAGGGTGAGCCAGGGCCGGGCGGGTCGGGTCCAGTCATCCATCCTCACCAGGGTGGCCATTGAAGCAGAGAGAATATCTGAGTGCAAACAACTGGGACGCAGAAAGGCCGAAGAAGGCCGAATGGGGAACCTTGAAAAGATCTGCCCCCGGGGAATGGGGAAGACGGGGTGGGGGTGGGGGAGGTTAGGCTCAGAGACACTGGTGGGGGGGGCAGGGCAGTTCCCCACTGTCGGTCATCCTGGGGTAGAGCAGACCCGCTGGGTAGGAGATGAGAGTTCAGGAGGAAACTGCTTCCTTCCTATTTAAGTCTTTTGCTGATGGCAACCCACAAGAAAGGAGGGAAGGTCCTCTTTCCATGCCTGCCAGGTCACACTCCTATGGTATTTTTACCACTGCCACGGAGGAAATGCCCCTCTCCCAGTACTACTGACCCACCTGGACACCTTGCTTAGGTTTGAACCCATGCTACTGACTTACTTTTCTATTAAAATCTCCTTATGTCGTACTCTCAGCCTTAGGATCTCATAATACCTGATGTTCTTACTGGGCCCCCCTCTGTTCCTCGTCTCAGCACCTCTAATCCTGTTCTTACCCTCCTGGGGCACCCCCAAATAATTATTTTCATGCCATAAATCTCAGACCCGTGACTTGAAAGTGTTCAGGAATGAATCCCTGTTGCCGAAGGCTCTAGACTTCATTTAAGGCTGTGTGGCCCCTGTACTTGCACGATGCCCCCTTCTCCCCAGCACAAGGTGCCCGGGTGCACGCAAACCCAAAGTACAGCCCAAGGTTTAGCCCAGCCCAGGGTGACTAGCAGGTCTCCAGTTAGGTCTGTGTGGGTGTGTGATCAGAAGCCATTTAGATTGTGGACTAGGACAGGCAAAATAATAAAAATGATGTTTCTTGCATGGAGATTTGCTTTCTCATTATCGTCACTTTCGAAAGAAACATCTACTCTCCGCAGGGAAAATACAGCAAAATACCCTGCCACGTATTGCTAATGGAGACAGTTTCTCCTGGTGACCTTTTTGAATCGGGCGATGGGGCCAGGGGTGGGGACCAGGACTTGGGGAAGGAGCTCTCAGCTCAGGAAAGCCCCTCAGGTGCTAAGGTGAGTCAGCAGGACAAGACCCTCAGTCACTCTTCCTATGAGGCACCAATAGCCTTGGGCTCCTGGGTCCTCCCAGTACCCGTGGGACATACGTGGGTGACCCAGCAGAGAAAGAACAGTTTCTTCCAGATCAGGGCTAGACAGAACAGTCAGGTCAGAGCAGCCCCTGATGCAAGTGAGTAAGTAGCACAGTTCTGGGTGACTGGGACCTGTGGAAGCCAGGGAAGTTCTGCCCCCTCAAAGGACACGAAGGCAGAACATTTTCTGGCAATACCTGCAGATCCAGTCAAGAACACAGATGAAGTGTCTCTGCGGAGCATGGGTGGGTTCTTTTCTACCGTGAGGCTCGCCACCCCTGAGGATTTTCTGAGAATCTCAGAATTGTTCAAAACGTCCACAGGTCCCTGGAGGGTCTCTTCCTGTGATTCTGAGGTGTGGAGAAGGTAACCCGACACTGAGGTGACCAGGGAGCTGGGGCTAGGGTTATTCTCAAGGGAGAATAAGTAGCCAATAGCTTATCCGACGCTCCTGTCACAGCTTACCCCTCACAGGAAATGCCCTGTGCTGCGATCTGCTGTCAGCACACCCAGCTATCCCCCGAAGCGCTCTTTCTGTTAAGAGAAATTGATAGCTATTTTAAAATATAGCACAGCAATTAGGGGACTGTTTTTTACAGCCCAGATGTTTAACAGCCCAGTGATTTACCTTGTTTCTTCTAGCCTATCGCCTACATACCAGAGATAGTGAAGGGCTCTGCTTTCTGCTTCTGTAAATTATCTCCCGCTTTGGTCTGAAGGACAGGCCTTCCCCCCGCCCTCTATAAAACGGCTGCTTTCCCTTTGTTCGAGGCTCAGAATTTGGAGATTGACTCCTATGGGCCCGTGCACGTTAATAAACCTCGTACTCCAGAAACCCTCGGTGTCTGGTTGCTTCGTTTTCCAGCAACATTTCTAAGGGTGACCTCAGCTAAGGGCCAGTTAGGGACTCCTCATCTGCTCTGCGAGGTGAACTCGCAGCTCGTGGAGGCCGTGCTCAGAGACCTGTCCGCACACTGCCAGCACCCAGAGGTGGGACCCAGCCTCTGTATCGCTGAGCTCATGACATATTTTTACATGGTATAATTATAAAAATACTGTGCAATGCCAGAATATAAAAGAACCTCTCGGTGTTCAGAGACTGTCCCTAAGCAGCACTGAAGCAGAGTCCCCCTCACTCTTTCCCGTGTGTACAGGGGTGGGGTTGCTGTATTGGTGGAAAATCATACACATACAAAGAAGGGTGAAGAACATAAATGTGCATTTAAGTTATTTTCTTTTTTCTTTTTTTTGTCACCTGTGGACATGCTCATTGAGTTGTTTAGAGAGGGAGAAGGGAGGGGGAGAGAGGGAGAAAAACATCAATGGGAGAGAAACACCGTTCGGCTGCTTCCTATACACACCCTGACCAGGGACGGAACCGCAACCCAGGCAGGCGCCCTGACCGGGGATGGAAGGTTTGAAGATATGATGTACAACATGGGGACTATAGTCAGTAACAGTGTATTAAATAATTAAAATTTGCTGAGAGAGAAGAACTTAAATGTTCTCACCAAAATAAAGTGTAAAGCAATGATGCCTGGGCTGGTGTGGCTCAGTGGACTGAGTGCCAGCCTGGGACCAAAGGGTCACGGGTTCAATTCCCAGTCAGGGCACATGCCTGGGTTGCGGGCCAGGTCCCCAGTAGGGGGCGCATGAGAGGCAACCACGCGCTGATGTTTCTCTCCCTCTCTTCCCCTCTGTCTATAAATAAATTTTTAAAAAGGTAAAGAGACGGATGTGTTAATTAACTAGATCCACGCATGTGGTGGGGGGAGATCCTGTCACAACATATATCAAATCACATGAGGTTCACTTTAAACATCTTACAATTTTGTCAGTTATAACTCTCAATTGTTGAACTTTGCTTAAGGGCTACAGGAGCCCTGGGGGCAGGCCCACGTTGAAATCCCAGTTCTGCTTCCTAGCATTTTGACCTTGGCAAAGCATTTACCCTTCCTTCACCGGCATCCCAAAACCTGTGAGGCGGGCAGATGGATGCCCCCGGGAGAACCGGGTCCGGGGTCCATGTCTCAGAGTTTCCTTCCAAGGCGGGCGTCTTCCCTCCATCCGAAGACGAAGGCACCGGGGAATCGGCCACCCAGGCCATCCAGGACGGGAAGACGTGGGTGGACACAGTGTGACTTGCCCTGCCGCTGCCATCAAAGGGCCTAGTTGACCGTGACAGAAGCACCGGAAGGGGCTCACGGGAACGCAGGGCACCGACGTGACAGCCCGTCGCCCGCTGCTCCCGGGCGCTGCAGAAACGGACCTCCAGGCGTGTCCGTATCCAGACGCGAGACACGGAGCCAGTCTTAGAAAAAAACGCTCGCTTGCTGCTTAAAAGATTATATTAACCAAAAGAAGAGGAAAGGGGTGCAATGGAAAGCCCCTGGGGTTCCGTGTTGAAGTTTTTATTCTTCCCAAGTGTTAGAATTTGGGTCTTTTGAATTCCTGTCATGCTACAGCATAGATGTTTGAACAAATTAACCTAGAGACCTCTTTTTTGTTTGTTTGTTTTGTTTGTTTATTTTAGTCAGAGACCGTTCTTTTTCCCTTTAGGAGGTAACAATAACAATGACTATAATTTTCTTAAGCACCTGCTCTGTTAGAAACAATGCAAACACTTTATCTTTTTCTGAGATTTTTTCCCATTGCACTTTGTGTCAAATACTATTGCATATCAGTTTCAGGTGTGCGGCCTAGCGGGCAGCAACCCCACACTTAGAAAGTCTGCTTCCAGCACCCGCCTGGCGCCTCACTCAGCTGTCACAGTGTTGTCGACCGCATTCCCGGTGCGGCGCTTTGCGCCCCTGCACTGTGTTCTGACGCCCAGTCTGTGCTTCCCAGACCCTTGGCCCCGCCCCCGCCCCACCCCTCCCCCACCGCAACCGCAGCCTGGACCCGCGGCCTGAAGTCCTGTGCGCTTGTTGTGCCAGATAATGGGCCATTCCAAAGGACTCCAGCCACCAACGACACTCAAGGAGAAAGACATGTTTAAAGATGCTCATTTTGTAGTTGAAAACCTTCTCGCAGGGGAAGCTCAGGTGGCTTTGCTGGCGAGCGCCCCCGAACATCTCGGAGGGGAAGAGCACTGATTCTCGGGAAAGTCTTCCCGAAATATGAAGAGGAGCCCGCCTGTCCTGACTGCTGTCAGGGAGCCAGCTGAACAGGGAGCCAGCTGTCAGGTTGTG